GGGGGAGGCGGGGATCGGGCGGCAGCGGAGCGGTGTCGCCGGGCGCTGCAGAGGGGTCCGGAGGGGCTGCCATCCCCCCCCGCGGGCTGTGTGTATGGAGTCACAGAGTCACAGTGTACAGGCGGAGAGCGAGCTCCTGCGGGGGGTTCCTTCACCCCCACTGACAAAATGACGTCTCCTAAGGGCACTTCTTGCAACTGTAGTTCTTTTCAGTTTGACTAAGCCATGAGTAACTCTTGGGTTGTGTGATGGGGTGGAATCACCCTTGGTGACATTTGTTTTGGTGACTCTGGTGAAAGTAGTTTCGTTGCCTTTCATGTACGGCTCATTCCAGCTTGTGATGGTTTTGTTGCTGGGTTGTTGTTTTTTTTAATTGGCTGAGCAAGGTTTGCGTTCCCCGATTGGTTGGAAGCAATGCTAGGTAGCAGATTCTGTAGCTATATTCAGCAGTTACTGGGTTGGTATTTTCTTTCCAGTATTCACAATATAAGAGATTACTCTCGCATACTGTTTTGGTGGTTTGGGTTTTCTTTTTTTGTTACATCATTCCAGAATACACGTTTCTGGAGGACCCAATTTAGCATCATAGAATAGAATGTGCAATTTCACCCCATTCCATTTCATGTTGCCAGAAAACAGCTTATTCCGATTTTCTCTGAATTAGCGTTTCGTCTTTACAAAAATAATGAATAGGGAAATTGTATTTCTCCAATGTGAACATCAGCTGTTGAGTCAGCAAATCAGCAAATATAGCTGAATATTGAACTTCAGTTCTAAATCATAGTGTGTGCTTTGCCACAGTCCCATGTTTGTGTTTGGGTTTCTGGCAGAAGTGTGAATGGATTTGGGTCTGATCTGTAAAGTCCTCACTATCCTGACTGTTACCATACCTACCTTATGTTATTCTTTTAACTCTTGGTGTCCAACCTTCATATGATACTTAGTATTGTATCTTCAGAACTTTATTTATTGATGTTCCATGTTTTCCAATGAAGTGTTCCTTCGCGTCTTTGAGGTGATTATTTTGTCAGCATTGCATTTATGATGTTTGCCTTGCCCTCAGTACATTGAATATTTGTGTTTGTGATCATCCAGTATTTTTTTGCAGGATTTCTGGGTTTGTTTGCTTCTTATTTGGAATATTATGTTTATTTTAAAATGTCAGTTATGTTTTAATTAAGAAATGTAAATCACCACCTAATACTAATTTGCCACTTGTTAATAATAAAGCGAATACACCAATAAAACTTTCTGTGATGCACATGTTTTTGGAGCTAAATGTGAAATTGTCTTAAATAAAATAGCGTAGGGGTAGGTAACAGCATGTCAGCCTCATGAATAGTGTGCTGCCTTGGGTCTCTGGTACCCAGAGCTGGTGGGAGCACCATCCGCTCTCTGCTCGGAGGGGCTGAGTTATTCTTCTCAAAGGACAGGGCTTTTAATTGACTTGTGAAATGAGACTGGGATTCCTCAGTCACCTTGAAACACACTGGGTACCAGCTATGTCAATCAGCGTGATGGGTTTGTACCAGTTTTACTCTGTATCTCTTCTTTTTCCCAACTACACGGAGAGTTTGGTTTATACAGAGCCTGTAACTGTCATACCTGGAGTAAATGATTCTTTTCTTAATAAGGCCGTAAGGTGTAATATATAACCTAAGCTTGAGCTGGGTTTGTTTTTTCCTTTGTGAGCTTAGAACTTTTTGTTTTGCTGATGAAATGATTAAGCAGGAAAAAAAGCAGAAGTTGCATTTTTCCTGTGAGGTTCACTTAATGTGAGCAGAAATCCTAAGAAGGGTTTGGGTTCCGGATTTTTTTTTTTTGCTAAATATGAATAAGTAGAGAACAATACCCCTCCTTCCTCTTTTTAGGGGAAGGTTCCTCCTACTGGGCTCTTTTGTTCACCACACCCTCTTCAGAAGAAGGCAGATCTGTTTCTCCTTTGTTCTGGATGATACTCATTTCTGTGCCAAGGATCTGCACAACCTGCTGTCTCTCCTGAGTCTCCACACCATCCCTCCCGCTGGCTCCCTGGCTGCTGTAGCTCCCCAGGAGTTCTGGTTCACAGTCCCATCAGATAGCAAGGGGAAAAAGAAAACCAGCAACGAAACAAGGCCCAACAAAAACCCAAGTGCTGCTGAATGGAACTCACCGTGAAGCCAACTTCTCTCTGCTCAGCAGGAAGCTGAAGAGATGACCTGGAAGGAATCACAGCACCAGCTGGGAGAGGGTCACTCCTGCACCTTTCCCTACACAACCATGGCTGCCAGCTCCTCCTGGGTGCTGGGAAGTGATACTGGAACATCCTTTTCCAGGAGCCTTCCTTGACCTGGCTTCCTCCAGAGGAGGAACAGAAATGCCTCCTCCTCAGTATAAGCCACAGAGCACAGAACCCGTCCTTGCCGTTAGAGGTGTGCAGGGTCCTCTTGCTCCCGGGGTCACCCACCCCCTTCTGCCTTCTCACACTGCCCTGCAGCCACGCTGCCAAAGCTCTTCCTGGTAATTTAAATGCCCAAGTCATTTTCCCTTGACACCTTCTCATAAATCCCATGCATTTCTAAATCCTGGGGTTGGGCCACTCCTGTCCCTTCTTTGCCGTGGCCAAATACATGAATACCTCGCTGGCAGTGGGAGGGAGGCAGGCGTGGTGGTGACACCCTGGGGGAGGGCATGGTGGTGACACCCTGCAAGGTCTCCATCCCTTCACCCCTTCCTGCTCAACAGTTCCATGTCGTCACGTCTGTCGTTTCAGGAGAGACCAGAGCAGGTTCTCAAATGGAAGGAGACTCTCAACGGGCAGGAGTCACCGCGTTGAGCAGCTCGTCTCTGCACGCAAGGGTTGACTCAGGAACCTGGCAGTAAGAATCAGGCAGGCAGGGTATTTGGTAGGAGAAGGAACCATAAAAACCCCACAATTTCATAATCACTCGGTTTAAAATTCTGCTCTGGATCTAACCTTGGTCTTCCCCCCAGGATGGGCCTGAGACTGCTTGATTTGCCTCAGGACTGAAGTTGTGGGCTGCTGCTTGAGTCACTTAAGCTGACTGGACTGGAGTTCTGTTCCATGTGTCTCTTTGACTTCCCACTGACTTCTCCTCGCCAAGCCGTTATTAGGAAACAAATCCTGGCGTTCAAACTGTTCCCAAATTTCCAAAAAAGGCAACTGCACTTCAGAGAAAAAATTAATGCCCGAGTCTCCAAGGGTTTCTTTCAGTAGGAGGGGCTTCCAGAGAAGTCCTTGCACCAGCGGTTCCATTCTCCACCTCCCGTCTGCAGCAGGACAGCAGGAAATGTGTCTCCCTTTCCCGTGATAGAGTCACAGGTCGGGTCGGTTGGGTTTTCCCACCTTTGGGAGTTTCAGTCTCTTCCACCCGAAGCTGAAGAGAACGTTGAGAGTCTCAGTTGCAGCTTTTCAGAGACACCAGCCTGCCTCGAGCAGCCTGCTCACCACAAGTGATGGGGGAAGCGCAGCAGGACCCTCCTCCTCGCCGGGAGGGAAAGGATGACTTTGGTCTCCTCCCCCCAGGCCTCCCGTGCTGAGGGCAGCAGGGCTCATCACAGCCACGGAGGTCCCTGCACGTCTTCGAAGCACATCCCACTGGCTTTTCAGGTCTTTGTTCTGAAAACCAGAAACTTCTTCAGAGTGGTTCCACGGAAAATTGATTTTGGCACAGCTAACCCAGTATCAGTCACTTCACTCCGAACCGGGGAACAACAGGCCGACTTAACAAAAGGTTTCCCAAAGTATTTCCTCCAAGGAGGACACCTGGGATGGAAGTCTCCACCCAAACTGGCCAGGTTACAAGCAGCCACCAAATAGGTACTTTGTGATGGGAAGTCCCAGGCAGCCGTGCTGTCACTGACTAGCTGGGGGACAGCGCTAGAGGAGCAGTAATGACACTCAAAAAGCCAACAGCCCGATTCCATAGAAGACATTTTATTACCAAAGAAGTTATATCAAAGTAAGAAATTGCAAAAGAGTTATAAACAACTATAAAAATACTTCTATTTATCCAAAATTAAATATGAACACTTTATTAGTTAAATGCCAATATATTATTCTCTGAAAATATTCACACATTTGAAGTCATGTTTGTCTAACACGTTATATAAAACAATTGCATATAAGAAATCACAATCTGAAGGTAAGGAACTCTAGCTCCTCCTCAGCGGCCTGGAGGGTGACCGGGGATGTGAGGCCGCTCTGCTTGGCCCAACAAACCCCCGTTCAGGCCTCTCCTTCTGTGCTTTCCCTGCTTCTGCCTCTGCCCCAGCCAGCAGAAGTGTGCTACATCGCTCACAAATCAGTTCCCCTCCAAAGGTTCTCAGAGAGTTAACCTTTTCCCCACTTTTCCAAACCCCAAGCCGTTTGCAGCCCGTTGGATGCCCAAGCTGACAGCCTCACTGCATCAGCCAAAGGGACCCAAGACCAAGGGCTCCTCTGGTACCTTGTGCCTTTGGGGCCTTGATGTGTTTTATACAGATAGAAAGAAACCAGCTCCTTTTCCACGTGTCCTTCACCTGCAGCTTCTAAGATGGTTTTATAAATTGCAGGAGACGCGAGTAGATGGCTCTCATGTGACGGTGTCACAAAGTTACTCCAAAGAGCAAGGAACTCAAAGTCGTTTCCAGAGCATGGAGGTGGGACAGAGTCTTCTGCAGCTGTTTGCCTCAAGTGCTGGGCTTTTGCTCCCACTTCTTGGACTTAGCAGCCTGGTTTAACCGTTTCTGTTCATTCCACCTCAGGAACAAGGTCCCCTAGCTCTCCATCAGGATTCCGGCAGAAAGTGTTCATACAAGCGAGCACAGTTACTCGAAGAATGCTCATAAAATGCAAAGATACCAAGTAATGCCACTTCGAAAGGAAAGAGCAGGATGCAGCTGGAATCACCTGGAAATTATTTTTTCAAATTTATTCCAGCAGGATCGAAGGCTAGATATATTTTCTTTCAGTTCACAAAATTCCTGGTTACATTTCTTTTTGGACTGTTCACCTGTTTCTGTATCTTCTCTATGATATGTGTTCACCTGCACGCACACCTGAAACAGAACAGATTGTGCTGTCAGTTGAGAAGTGCTTGTTCTTCCCACGTAGAACATCATTTAAAACAAACTGAGTCCCTTACATCTCAGTAAATAACGGAGGTACCTTCCATGGTGATGAAGGCAGCAACCTGGGCTCCTCAGGAACTGCCGTGGTGGCCCATGGCTGCAGCACCCTGACTCCTCACTCCGAGCACGGCCCCACGGCCCCCTGCCCACCCCACCGGCTGGAGGTGGCTTTAGCGTGGGCAGCTGGGACCAGCCTGTGCCACTGAGAACGTGTCCCTGGTTTAGAATGTATCCTCCGCTGTCGGAAGGACTGGCCAAACAAAGCCAATTAATTGTGAGCCAAACTCCAAAAGGTGTGGCCGCATCACATGTGGCACCTTGAGTCTGGTGGGACAAGACTGACCTGTCCCCAGGGGCTGGAGCTGTGGCCTCGTGTCTGGGATCTCACCCAGAGACAAGAAGACCATGATTCTTGTCCATAGTCAATAACTGTTCATTATTTTTACCAAATTACTTTAATTGGTCTGTAAATAAAACCGGGCATCCACGAGGCAAGGTGGGAGTTTCAGGGGTGACACTTTTTGACTTCTATGACTCAACTGGGTGCCCTGGTTTTGACTGGGAAAGAGTTAATTTTCTTTCTAGTGATTGCTGTGAGAAGAATGCCAATAAAACCTGTTGGGTTTAGTTGTTGCTAAGTGATATTGACATGACTCAAGGACTTCCTTCAGCTTCCCACAGAAGCACAGACAGCCCATGAAATGTCCCACGCCCTGGACGTCCCACTCACTACAGGAGCGGGGGCTGCCGGGGGCCATCTGTGATCACTGCTCGGGACGGTGAGGGTGACCCATGCCATTATTAGTCTTATTATTATGGAATCACGGAATTGTTGGGAGTTGGAAGGGACCTCTAGAGATCCTCTCGTCCAACTCCCCTGCCAAAGCAGGGCTGCCCAGAACACATCACTCAGGAGCATCCAGGTGGGGCTTGAAGATCTCCAGAGAAGGGGACTCCACACCCTCCCTGGGCAGCCTCTGCCAGGGCTCTGCCACCCTCACCCCAAACAAGTTCTTCCTCACATTGCAGTGGAACTTCCCATGGTCCAGCTTGTGCCCGTTGCCCCTCATCCTGTCACTGGGAACCACTGAAAAGAGTCTGGCTCCATCCTACTTCCACCCACCCTTTAGACCCTTGTCAGCATGAATAAGGTCTCCCCTCAGCCTTCTCTTCTCCAGGCTAAAGAGCCCCAGCTCTCTCAGCCTTTCCTCATCAGGGAGATGCTCCAACCCCTCCAGCATCTCTGTTGCCCTACACTGGACTCTCTCCAGCAGTTCCCTGTCTCTCTTGAACTGGGGAGCCCAGAACTGGATGCAGGATCCCAGTTGTGGCCCCACCAGTGCAGAGTAGAGGGGAGATGGATATTATTACTATTACCGTTATTTTTCCTTTTCTGTTATTTTTTCTATTAAACTGTCTTTATCTCAACTCACAAGGGTTTTTTTTCCTCCCTTTCCCCTCCTTTTTTCCCCTCCACCCTCCTTCTTGTGGGGAAGAAGAGTGGGGTGTGAGTGAGCGGCTGCGTGGTTCCACTTGCTGGTGGGGTTAAACCACGGTACTGGGACACCTTTATGGGAAGCCAAATTCATCACAGGTGGCCAAGTGAAATATAGACACCAACACCACTTTGAGGATCTGCTCCTAGTTTATAGAAGTCTCTCCATTTCAAGGGGAAAAAGAATTAGTTAAATACAGCCTTCAATCCAATTATTTAAGCTGATCATAAAGAATTCTATCCTTTGATGCCTATGGGGAGTTGATCAATAGTTTTGATGTTGATCAATAGTTTTGTGTTCCATAAATAACTTAGAAGAACACCCAGAAGGTGGCTCTTCCTTTGCTACGGCAGTGTGTAGAGCATTGCACTAGACTGGAGTGACATCAAAGAGTAGATTCTGCCAACAACTAAATATCCAAATATTTTCCTAACTAACCATTGTTGTTGAGTCTGAGATACTGCGGTTAAAACAAAGATCAGAGGGATTATGGAAAGGAGAGAAGCTCCCACTATTTGTTTGCTGAAACACACCAAAATAAATATTGATCTCAGGGTAGAACTCCAATGAGAAGTAACAACTGTGACTTTGTACACTAGAGAAGTTAAAGGCCTTCTTCACAGGAGCGTGGTCTCTGTCTTGCACCAGAGCAGTAACTGAGGTGTTTTGGGACTGACCCAGAGGGTGTGTGTCTCACGACAGACTCCCAGACCATCGTGTGACTCTGTCTTTGCACTGGGCTGGACGTCCATGACAAGAGACGCGCTGTGTGGAGCAAATCCACCCCGTGTCTGAGAGGTGGTGACTGAACCCCAGAGGTGGGGAGGGCAGTCTGTGCTGGGCAGCTCTGGGGAGTCACCACCCGCCTCCAGCAACGCGGAGCCCCTCGCCAGCACTCACCTTCTCTTTCCTCAGTCGCTCACACCTGCACTGCAGAACCTGTAAGGTCCCACAGGAGACCAACGCCGCCTTCCGCCTCAGCTCCCTGCCCAGCTTCTGCTTGTGGAAGAACCTGAGCATGTTGCAGGCCATGGTCTGTAGGGATCCTACCTCCTGCAAAGGGGCAAGGAAAACACCTCCTGAGATGCCTGTGCACCATCCATTCCTTATAGTGTTAGTCTGTCTTCTAAAAAAAAACCTCCATCATTTACCATTAGTTTCTTCTGTTTTCATAGTGCCAGTCTTTTCCAATAAAACACGAGTAATCTGACCTACCTGCCACCTCTTCAAAATAAATATAACATATCAATTTGTAGGAGTAATAATAGTGGCGTCAGGGAGAAGCCCCGGCTGTAGCGACACCAGCCGATGCAGCCAGGAAGGCAGGGCAGGGGTTTGGGAGTCAGCCCTTCCATCGAGTCATGATACAATCTGCAGCAACAGCTGACAGTTGTGCAAAAAAGAGAGAAAGTCTTTCGAGATCTGCCCCAACTATTACTTTTACAGCTCTCAGACCTGAAGTGAACAGCTCAGCTGGTCTGAGCTCCTGCAGAAAAATGAGAACAGATGCTGGGAAATTATCTTCACTTCCACTGGCAAAATAAAGTAAGTTTTCTGTATATTTTTGGATTAAAAATATAAAACAATCTTTATAGTAGGGGAAAAAAAAAGCATTTCTTATATATGGGATTGCTTAATATTTTAATTTTTAAAATATCAATTTATATGATGAGTTGTTTGATTCCAAAAAAAGAAACATGACTGAATATCATGATTTGACTATTAAAAGGTAGCATTACCCCTATAACAGTATGTTATTCAGGGACTGGACTGTACGAAGAACCCACCTGAGTTTTTATTCTCTAAAGTAAAATCTGAGAAGCTGAATTTTACCTGAGTATCATTGCAGAAAAACACTTTGCTGTTTTCTTGTTTTTTATTCTTGCAGCACCTGTCGCGATACTCTGCAGACATATTCACCTGTAAAACAGCAGGCGTGGTTAGACAGGGAAGCACTTCTCATCAGTGCAGCCAGGAGAGCTCCACTAACATCTGGAGACATCAACACTAAATCGCTCTGCACTAAATTGCACACTAAATCTGCACTAACTTGCACACTAAATCTGCACTAACTTGCACACTAAATCTGCACTAACTTGCAGGACCCCTCCTGGGGTGCAGCAGGGCTGGGGTAGTTCTGAGCTTTTCCTTGGCAAACAGGCAAAGACAGCCCCAATCCAGCTGCAGTTTCTGAAGGCACTCACAGAAACACATGGAATCACAGCAGGGCTGAGGTGGGCCAGGAGCTCTGGAGCTGAGCTGCTCCAACCCCCTGCTGAAGCAGAGCCACCCGCAGCTGCTTCCCCAGGAGCAGGCAGCTTTTGAGTATCTCCGAGGATGGAGACTCCACACCCTCCCTGGACACCCTGTGCCGGTGCTCGGTCACCCTCACAGTGACCAAGTTTTTCCTGGTGTTCAGAGGGACCCTCCTGTGTTTCAGGGTGCGCCCATTGCCCCTTGTCCTGTCACTGGGCACCACTGGGAAGAGTCCGGCTCCCTCCTCTTCATCCTCCCTTCAGGTATTTATAGACACTGATGAGATCCCCTGGAGCCTTCTCCTCTCCAGGCTGAACAGTCCCAGCCCTCAGCCTGTCCTCACAGCAGAGATGCTCCAGTCCCTTCATCACCTCCGTGGTCCTTTGCTGGACTCCTCCAGTAGTTACATATTTCTCTTGTACGGGGGAGCCCAGAACTGAACACAAATCTATTCATTTTAAACCTCCATATTCTATCAAATTACTTCATTCTTTGGCATTTTAAAGCACGCAGGAATATTTAAATCTCACAGAGACATCAAATACAATGTTTGTCAATGTTTGTCTCAGTAACTACATGCCCTAGGCACCTCAGCAGATCCTGGCAGTCACTTTGCAGATGCACTAACAGAGCATGTTCTAAGCATCACCACCACCTCCCTTTGCCTGATCATAATCCTGTATCAATGGTTTATTCTCTGGGGCTTTTTTTCCTTCTACTTTCATGCTTGTCATCAAGACGAAACCAAACCCAACTCAAAAAAATTTCTTCACTTTCTTCTTCTGCCTGTATCCAGACAACCTACTACAACCAGAAGGGCTTTAAGAAAGGCAGCTCATGATAATATTATTGGTGAAAGCCTCTGGGTAAGAATTAGAGACTGAGGGAACAAAGGGAGCCCTGTGGTTGATGTCCACCACAGGCCACCCGACCAAGGGGAGCCTATCAATGAAGCCCTCTCACTCCAGCTCCAGGACATATTGCACTCGCAGGTTCTTGTCCTGCTGGGGGATTTCAACCACCCCAATGTCTGCTGGGAAGGTCGCACGGTGAGCTGTAGGCAACCCAGGAGGTTCCTGGAGTGCACCAAGGATGACTTCTTAATAGACAGCCCCCCCAGAGGGGATGTGATACTGGGCCTGTTGGTCACCAGCACAAGAAAGCTCATGGGAGATCAGAGGCAGCCTGGGCTGCAGCGATCACACACTGTGGAGTTCTCATGGGATGTGGGTCAGGGGAAGAGTCAAGTGGGGACCCTCCATTTTAGGAAAGCAAACCCCCAGCTCTTCAGGGAGTTAGTCCATGGGACACCCCGGGAAACTGCCCCTGGGGACGAGGGAGCAGGACAGAGATGGCAGATCTTTAAGGACGCTTTCCATGGAGTGTAAGAGCTCTCAATCCCCAGGTGTCAGAGATCAGGAAAGGAAACACTTGTCTTTCTCAGAAACACAAGGACGAACTAAAGGGGCTACTTATCTGCTCTCATATGGCCACGAGTACTTCCCCCAGCTTTGGTGCCTCGCTCAGGAGAAGGTCAGTTATCTATGGAGAAGTACCTTCCTTCCTTCATACACAACATGATCAGGATGGTTTTGAAGATCAAATGGCCCTTCCCTGACCCTAAAGGTATTTTGCTTCCAGATGAGGGCTGATGGGTCTCAGTCGAGAACGGTTGGAAACCACTGGCATAATGCTCTGAAGGATCCAAAGTGTGAAGAAACACAATGGCTCCTGATGTTGCCCTTGGAAAATCACTGTGTGTCACTTGTATTTCAGGCAAACATCTAGACTTCAGACTGCAACAGAATGGTGGGTTCTCGTTTGGTGACAAACTGCCAGAAAAATCCCATTTTTGTAGAAATGCCTCTGCTAATCCAACTGTGGAAAGGGCCTTCTCCCATGAAAGTGTTCTTGACAGATTAATGTAATGGTTGATAATTCATGATGAAGAGTTGGAAGGTAGATTTTGGGCATGGATCGGTAAACTATTATGATACTTTTTTGCCAAACTGTAATAAATCTGGCTGATAAAGCCATAAGGGAGGAGATTTACAACTGTGAAAGTTAAGTGTTTCTCTGCTGCCATCTAGAAAAGTTAGTTCTTTGTTGGCAAAATGAGATCTATTAATAGGTAAAATACAAAGGCACTTTTATTCTTGGATGAATTTTGCGCCTCTGTGCGTTTGCATTCGATGGACAACATAAAACTTCAGTCAAGAAGTCTACAATTAGCAGAACAAATTACAGGTTGTCTAATGCTTTCTGCTCTTGATAAGAAGATATAAATAGAAGTAGTAATGAAATTACTTCAGAAAAGAGTGCTTTGAAGTGTAATATACGATTTAGGAGCAAATGGTAGATGTGTAGGACTACGTGGTGCAGGGGCACAAACTCCTGTGTCTCGGTGACTGCACGTGCACACAGGCAGCACCCACGGATTTCAGAGATTGCAAAAAACCTCAATTGTTGCACCCCCTCAAATAAAGCCACCATTCCAGGATAACCCGTGATTTTAAATTGGTCTCTTATCATATGTTAACATTAGAGCTTTTAATTACTACTATTTGCCATAATCTAAAAATAGCCAGCATTTTCTGAAAGCCCAAGAGCCATTACTCACCAGCTCATCGATGTCGTGGCTCAGTATATTCTCATACTTGACCCGGATCTCCGCTGTTCTATTTCCCATTGCACAACCAGATGGATTCACTGGAGACAGGACGAGGAGCAGTGGCAGAACCCGAAAGATAGATCTGAAAAAGGCTGGGTTACAACAAGAGCAGTTAAGTACATATTAAATCCCACAGAGCATACGCCACTAACAAATACATCCTGTAAGCCTTTCGAAGGGTTTAAAAGGGATCTTTGTAAAACCAAATGACTTGTTCCCCGAGGGGAGGGCTGGGATCCAGGCTGAGACACTGTCTGGGTGTCTCAATCCCTCACGCTCAGGGGTGGCTCAGCTGTGGTTAAAGCCCACGGCTCGACCAGGCAACTGGTGTCTGCTGGGGCTGGATGGATGCCCAGGCTTCCCTGCAAGCCTCAACCGGGTCTCTCACTGACCATAACTGGACCATAACTGGGCCATAACTGGACCCTAAACCGACCATAGCCCCCAGTACCTCTGTAGACAAACCAGTGTCTCAGATAGGTGTAGATATTCGAGGGTCTTAATCTGCAGCTGAATCCCATCCTAACGATCAATTTCTCATACGATAAATTCCACAAACGCCCAGGAACACAGCCTTACATCAACAGGGTGTTAAATTAAATTTTCAGGGTGACCAAATGTACAAATCCACTCTAGTGGCTGCAACACGAGGTAAGGCAGCAATACACCCTTTTCTGCAGGATTTTTGCAATCTTTTTGAGCAAATCTCGCTGCCCCTTCACTTTGTTTCTCCCTTCATCTTGCCTTGCTCAGACCCCCCCATCTTTTGTCTTTGCACGACACGGGGAAAACACAACTTCTGTGAGGATGGGCAGAGAGACAGGACCAAAATAAGAAAAGAGCCTGAAGGGGCTGAAAGGGTAACTGGGGGCTGCGGGTGACTGGCTGGATGCTGGGGATGAGGGAGACTGGGTACAGGACGGTATTGGGATTAGGAAGCCCACAGCTGGACTCTGGCCCATAGGCAGCCTGGCTGGGATCATGCTTCAATGGAAGGTTTTGGAAAAACACAAAGCTAGAAATGTAGGCTGGAGGGTTAGCAAAGATCACAGCAGCTTCCTGGACCCGTTTCTGCTCATCTCTGGAGCTCAGGAGGAGCCCCAGCCCCACGCAGAGCAGCCCTGGGCTGCAGCCAGGAGAGGCTGAGGGATGTCCTGACCCCGATGTCCTCTCCTGTCCCCCAGCCAGGGTGGGAGCACCAAGCACAGCCAGCCCAGCACCCATGGGGGGGCGTCTCCAGTAAAACCCAGCCTCAGAGAAGAACTAATAACTCTAACTAATAACTAATGACTCGGAATAACTAAGGAGAAAGCAAGGAAATCATCTTTCCTGAGCCACCCCAACCTCTGTGACGCAAGAACCCCAGTCACACCAGGCGCCATTCACAGACCCACGGTCCCTCACCACCCACCCACCA